CCTTGGGATTGATGTACTTTCTTCCTTAAGTGTGCTTGTCGTGATGTCCTTCTCCCTCTGTACTCCAGGCACAAGCACGACAGCTCTGCTGTTGTTGGGAACACAAAGGGACACGGGCAGAACCGGGAAACAGTGCAGGAACGAAGGAAGAAGGAAGCAAACAAAAGCACGAGAGCGAATCATAATCGGCGCGCCATGGCCGACAGGAAGCGGAGTAAAGGCATGATTCCTTCCTGAAAGCTTCCCAGGTGCTGCAGCAGCCCCAGTCCTCTGCTTGGAGGCAGCTGTGCTCCATCCCCTCGGCCCTCCCTTAGCTCAGGGAGGCTGGGTGCCACGTCCAGAACCTGGCCCTTCAGCTCCATGTGAACTGCACATCCCGAGGGAGGGCTGCCTCTTCCTGGAGAGGAGCTGCCCTCTGTGCACACCGTGGCTGTTCCTCAGTCTGAAGAGACACGTGTGTACAGCAGTGAGCTGCACCCACCATTCACTTCTTTTTGTACTATTTATAACTCGGAGAGTTTTATTTTCATACTGGCTCCTCCTGCCCTCACTGCAGCCCACGGGGAGCTTCCAGGCTTTGCAAGGCTTCCCGGGGGCAGCGCTTCCAGCTGCCTGCTCTGCTGAGATGCCTTGTCCTGCAGTGAGACTCAAAGGCTGACAGCAAAATGCTCGGGCTGAACACTGCTGACACACACGTAGGAGTTGAGGTGAATGAGACTATCATAAGTTTCTGTCCCTGGAGCAAGGTGTGTGGAAAACTGAATGTGCCAATAAATGATTTGAGTCTTGTAATTGGTGTTTCAGGCTCTTAAGAACTATATTGATCTTGAAGTTGGAGGAGCTTCAGCAATGTGCTGCGTCTGCAGGCGGTGAAATTTGTTTGCTGCTCTGTGTTGGTTTAGTGAAATGAGATCTAGCCACTGAGAGTCGAGATAATTGAAAATCAGGCTCGTGGTATCCAATGCACGCTGACAGTAACGTGGAAATTGGAGATAGCAGGGTCAGAGTCCCTGGGGAGCCAGCTCCTCACTAACTGCTTGTCACACTCCGTGAAGCAGAACTGCCCTGATCTTCACGTTTGCTGTTTGGAAGCCTGGGAGCTATTAGTAAGCAGCACTTTCTAGTTGCTGAAAGGGCTTTCCCTGAGGGCTGTCTTTTGTGATGGAGATGCTCTCTGCGTGGAGAGATGTGCAAATCCTTGAGTTTGCTTTGTGACCTGTCTGTAGGTGGGCTGCTGTGCTGTGCCCCGGACTGCCTGCCCACTGATGGTGGGAAAACCATTCAGTCGCTGTTGCCACGGAGCATTTTGCATGGTTTTGGAGTGCTCTTTTCCTCGTGGAGACGCACTTCCAGGTAACAATTAGGCTTTGCTTGGTTAGTCTATTCCAAACGCCATCTCCCCGCCACCACTTCTGTGCTTTTTCAAGTACACACGTATAGAGCAGAGCAGACAAAGCTGCCCGTGCTTGTTGCCACGTGCTGGAGAAATGAGCCCCGGGCTGTGCAGCTTTACAGCCACTGCTCCAGGGCACATGGAGTGCCGTGCTCCCCTTCCAACGCTGCAGCACACGCTGTAGGCTGTAGGCGCAGCGGTTGCTGCCTGGTTTTACGCAGAGGGCGGGGACTGTGGGGCTGTAGGATCGCTGCTGCTGCCAAGAGCGTGGAAACATCTGAGTGCACCTCGTCCCAAACCTCGTAATGACAAGGCACAGCACAAAGGGAATTGGGTTCACCAACTTCCCAAAAATCCAGAGTCGAGGAAAATTACCCACTGGGAGAATTCCCCAGTGTTTTATAGCTACTGTTCTCTGGCCTGAGAGCTTCATTTACTCTGCCAGACTGCTACAATGCTGTCTCCCCTTTCCTAATACTGTATTCATCTTCAGTTCTTGCTTCTAAGAAGCTGCAAATCTCTATCACCTGCTCAGCATAGTGTGAAGCTATCAGCACTGCAGCCAGAACTTGGAGTAAAGCAGCACTTACATGGTAGGAGATAATCCCAAGAAAGCTTAAACCTCCTCTTAAGCATCTCTGTAAAAGCACAGCTGGGACTGTGAAAAGCCCTAGTTGTTTTTTGCTCAAAAACAAGCACAATGTTTTTAAGACCTCTTAATGTTCTTACAGTAAACGTTTTACTCCTGTCTGGCACATATTTACAAACCCAATAAAGCTGCTTTCATTAGTGCTGGCTGTAATTTGCACTGCCTCATCCACTGCTAAAATTGCTGCTTATTAGCAAGAATATAGTAAGGAGGGAGAGATGTGTTTTTATAGGTCCTCCAGCAGCAGGCTTGGATTGGAGGGGAAATGGGAGAGCAGGAGCTGGTTTCTGCCAGCTCTCCCTGGAGTAATTCTGTTTTAATTGAATCATTAACCCAAACACTATCCTAACAGCCCTTCCTCATGAAGAAAGCTATTGGAAATGTCCACTGGGAACAGGGAGAGACCTTTCAGAGCAGGTGCTGAGAATTACTCTGTTCCCCATGAGAGCAGAGGCACGAATGCTTGTTGCAGAGCTACGTGATTGCTGTCCCTTCTCAGCAACTCTGCTGCAATCTGAGGGCACTGAGGCAGGCTGACAGCAGACCAGGCAAGCTGCATAACAGTTCAGCTCTACAGGGCACTCTGAGAGCCACAAGGCACGCCGACAGTCAGCAACGTCACTTACAGCCCATTTCATGGATCTGGTGACAGGCTGTCACACACCATCCCCATTTAGTACTACTGAGCCCCCCAGAGCACACAGCAGGACAGGGCAGGCAGTTCTCTCCCTGCTTAAGGCAGGGGCAGCAGCATTTGGGCTGCAGCTGTGGAATAACGAGAAGCCAAAAACCAGCACAGCTCTGCATTAAAGAAAGCTGATGGTTTATAGAAAACCTTGTGACTGTAGTCGTTCACTTTTCTTTGAATATGATGAGAGGAAAGCAGGCAGCTCCTCGCCCTGCTCGAGTTCTCATTGGGCAGAAGCCAGCAGTGGTGTTAGTGCACCTCAGCTGTGCAAGTGTGTGCTTTCACACCGCCCTGAGAAGAGCTTGCTTTCCTACAGTGTCCTGAAAAGTAAGGTTTGGGGCTGTGCCAAAGCATCCTCCATTTCACAGGTAAGGAGAAGCTGCAGGCAGAACAAAGGACAAGGCAGGGAAACGCAGAAGCATGAAACATGGGTCAAGCATTTTTGTTTTATTTTAACACAGCAAGTTTCAATACAGCAGCAGAACTCGTTGAGTCCATCTTGGTTGACATCATATCAGTAGGTGGCTGATATAATCTGGCTCGGAATCAGTCAGGGACCCAATTCCATTTCAATATAACCTGTTTCAGGAGACTGAATCCTTCTCTGCAGTGTCTTTTGCCACCCCAGACTGGATCTTGCTGCTGAACATTTCAGTCTTGGCTTGCTTCATATTTGTGCTTGATGTGTTTCCACAGTTTCTGTATGCAAAACAAACAGAAAAGAAACAATTAGCTTCTCAGTGGTCCTGGGATAAAGCTTTACTTTAAAATGTAGTTATCAGTAACAATGAGGGGCAGAAGAATGTGCAGGAAAACACATCCACAAACACCAGCAGGGTGACAGTTTGGGTACAGCTGCCCCGTGCCCTCCTGCTGCGCCTGGGCAAACCCTGACCAACCACAAAGGCTTCAGGATTTTGCTCCTGAATTTTGCTGCTCCATCCACCTCCCTGCCCTCCTATTGCTGCAGTACTGCTACAGCTCCCACACTTGTCCCAACACAGAGGGGAAGTACGAGGCTGAGCGCTGCCAGAGACACACAAGGAATCCTATCCAGATACCAAGATCTGCTGGTGAATTCAGGGCCAAGAGAAGCACTGCACGAGGGCAGGACGGGAGCTGAGAGCAGAGTTCAAGCTCAGATGTTAAACAGCCCTAACAAACACCTGCTGCTAAGGAGGCACAGGAAGGGACGCCGTCTCGATCTTCCATGCCCCTCTGGCCCAGCTCGGCTGCTGCGGGGCGCTCAGGCTGTCCTGCCGCGTGCCCTGAGCTTCCAGCCGCTTTCTGACCTCCCGACCCAGGTCCGAGAGGCGGCAGAGGACACGAGACGGCTGTTTTAGACACAGCGGGCACTGAGGTGACCCTGCTAACGCTGGATCCGCCCTTGGATCCGGGCAGCCCGCCGTGAGCTCACATCGCTCCTCAGCGCCGCGCAGCAGCCTGTCCCCCCCCCGGGCCAGCGCTGACCTTCAGGGCCGCTCCCACCGCCGGGCGACCCCGGCAGCGCCCCAACCCTCCCTTACCCCTTCATTGAGGTGTTCGAAGATGGCGTCCGCGCCCTGATCGAAGGCGCGTTCGAACAGCACGGCGCCCAGCACGACGGTGAGGGCGAAAGTGGAGGTGCGGCGGAAGAGCGCGCTGTAAGCCTGCCTGAGCAGCGCCATCTTGGATGCGCCGCCTGCGCCGCCGCCGTCCTCGGGGGGCTGCTGGGAGCTGTAGGCGCGCGCCGCGGGGGCTGCTGGGAGTTGTAGGCGCGGCGCTAAAGGCCTTAGGCCGGGCGGAGGTGAGCGGGAAGGGCCGGCCGTGGAACCGGGAGAGCGGCTAAGGGGGGGGGGGGTGGGTCGGGACTTGTGGGGGAGGGGAGGGGAGCCTCGGGAGGAGCTGCAGTAAGTTTTAATTCTGTTCCTTTCGGGCTTTTCTCCCGCACGGAGCGTGCACTGAGCGCCGCGTCATTACTGCCGGCGCCGCACGTGAGTCCGAGGCGCGCACCGAGGCTCTGCCCGCTGCTGGGCTCCTGCGGGCGGGATTCCACGGAGACGGGCGGGATCCTGCGGCCCCGCTGCAGAAAATGCTTTGTTTTCCTCCTTCGCAGCAGCTGCGCTGTAGAGGGGCCGTGCAGGAGGCAGCAGCCGGGATGGGAAGCTGCCGTGGTGCCTGGGAGCTCGAGGTGCCGCGGTGCGAAGCGAGCAGGGCGGCGGTTGTGTCCATAGCAGCTGCGCGGGCACTGAGCGCCGCAGCCCTCCTCCTCTGCGCTCCACAACAGCACCGGGTGCTGCTGCACCACCCCGGGGCCTCCTTAGGGATGGCAGTTTGGGGTGTTTGTGAAGCAGCGTTCGGTTCTGGCTGCTTGGGAGCTGTGAATTCCAGACCTGGAGCTCCCTGCAGAGATGAGGCTTTGGGGACGTGATGCTTTTGGGAAGGCAGGAGCTCGCAGGTGGCTCAGCCGCACTCGGCCTGGGCTCTGCTTGTTGCTGTGCTTCCTGCCAGCTCTGAGGAATCCTTAGAGAGGCAGTGATTGATTCCCACCCTGATTTATTTATAAAATCTTTCTTTCTCGTGCTGCTCTCTGCGCTATTTTTTAAATGCGTTTAGCTGTCAAGGTGTCTAAAGCTGGAGAATTGCTTTTGGAGTTTATCTCCCAGTCTATCCATCTTTGGCATTTATCAGCTGCTGTTACATCTCGCAGACAGAACGTAAGGCTCCCGGGGGTAAGATTCCCTGCTGCACCTGCAGCAGCTGGGCAGCCCCAGGCACGGTGCACCAGAGCAGCTGGCTTATTGCCCCCCGAGGAGTTCTTTAAGCTCTTCCTTGAGGTGAGGGTGGACGCAGAATTCCCTCCCTCGCGTGGCAGCTCACTTGGTTGTCTACAGCCCCAGGTTGTGTGCTTGGCCCTGGTGCAGCTCCAGGGTCTGAGTGATTTCCTAGCAGAGCCACCATCCCACGGGGTGGCAGAAGTGGGGAAAGCAGAGCTGAGCTGGCCCTGCCAGTATGTGCAGCAGACAGCACCGTGCCAGTCCCTGAGGGATGGATGGCAGGTCTCACCTCTTCCTCTGTCTGCCAGCTCTCTACGATTTGAGTTCTCCTCCTTTGGAAGCAGGCGCTGTAAATCTCTGCTCCTTCAGCATGTCCTTCTCCGTCCCCAGGCACCGAGGCTCTGCCTGACAGCTCTGAGGCTGCATGAGCTGCTTTGCAGGAAGAGAGATGGGGAAAAGATATTTCTGTGATTACTGTGACCGGTCCTTCCAGGACAACCTGCACAACAGGAAGAAGCACCTCAACGGAGTGCAGCATCTCCGGGCTAAGAGAGCCTGGTACGACTTGTTCCGAGGTGGGTGTCCCAGTGCCAGCCCCAGGAATATGGTCTGAGTGTGGTTGGGCTATGAGAGACACGTGGCACTGTGGGCTTTGGCAATATGCAAAGACTTAGCTCGGATTAAAGTGATGGTGAAACCATTGCTTGTGTGTTCCTTTGCTTCTCCCCTCCAGCTCCTCAAGAGCAGGTGCTGCAGGCTGTGTGTTCCCTGTGAGCTGAGGGGAATGCTGCAGAGCTCTGAGGCATCTGCTGCCTGCTGCAGTGTATGTGGAGATAGGAAAGGTCCAAGAAAAGGCCTAGTGTGGAGGTCTCACTGCCCAGCAGCCTTCTACACGGGTCGGTGACAGTGAGGCAGATGGCTTGGCGCGTTTCTTCCTCCCAGGCTGTGGCCCTTGATTTTCCTCTGATTCATCAAATCCCTCATCTCAGCCCTGAGTGGGTGTTTTGCCTTGGCTCCACGCATCTCCAGATATTTGCAAATTTCTCCACAACCTACAAGAGCTGCTGTGTTTTCCCCAGGACACCTGCAGGAGGTGGAGGAGCACAGTGCTACTGTCTGCCTGAGCCTCAGCACGGGGTTCAGTGGGGCCTGGCAGAGCCCCATTAACCTGCCTGCTCCTCTGCGCTGCACAGGAGTGGAGCAGTGTTGCTTTTCTGTTGTGCTTCCTTTGTGCTGCTTGGATGAGGAAAAAGTGTGGAGAGGAAAGCAGGGAAGGGAATGTTTGCAAGCCAGGAAAAAGCTGAAGCCTGGGGTGTAGATGGGGACTGTGTTATGGGTTTGCCCTTGGCTTAAGGTCAGGATTGTCCTGTAAAATATGTAAAAAAAAATGCCTTCATGTCAGGCAGAGTGAGCTCTGGCAGGATGCTGCTGTGCAAAAGATGTGATCCTGTCCTGCGTTGTGTCATTTATCTCCCCCAGATGCTGCTGCTATCCTGCAAGAGGAGCAGAGCAAGAAGCCTTGTCGGAAGTTTCTACAAACAGGTGAGGTGGAAATACCTCCTTGGTGAGCCCTGGTGTGTGTTTGCCTCGGGGGCAGTGAGGGGCACGGGTCTGTGTGTGCCTGTGTGTGGTGGAGCCTGGATTTGCACACACATTTACATGGCAGGACCTCGTGTGTGCGTTACTCACGGAGCTCTGTGGCTGTTCTTCCAGGGCAGTGTGACTTTGGGTCCAACTGTAGATTTTCCCACATGACAGAGCAGGACTTGGAGAAGCTGAGTGCGCAGGTGCAAGGTGAGCCCTGGGGCAAGAAAATGAGGGGGAGTCTCTGAGGAAGGGGCAGTTGCTGCAAGGATGGTGGGCTGCAGGGGGGCACGTGAGCTGTTGTGCAGTGAGAGTGTGTGATGCTGTGCTGTCTGTGAACGTGGCTGCTCCCTCCTGCCTCTCCTGGCTGCTGAGCCCGGAGGCTGCCTGTAATTGCTGCAGTTTTTCAGATGCTTCCTGCTCTTGGTCTCCTGGCACAGACGCAAAGCTAAAGAGTTGAGCAGCGCTGCTGCCACTTAGCAGTGAGCAGCTGAAGCAGAGTGGGCTTCCTGAGCCCTTGGGGTTTTCTTCAGTCGGGGAATAAAATCTGTCAGCAGCAGAGGGCACTGGTACATCACTTCCCCTTAAATTTATGGCTTTGGCTTCCCCCCACCTCTCTATTATGCCCGGGGAGCAGTTTGCTCCTGTCTCGCTCTTGTGAAAAGCTATCAGGTGATCAGATGTGTTGTCCTGAGGAGGTGAAATGGGGTCCTGGGTCCAGAAGCAGCCTCTGTTTGTGTGGCTTTTCAGTGGAACTGAAGTTTGGGCAGGAGACAAATGGCACCTGGCTCCCTGCTCTGAGTCTCAGGAGCACTTTTTCATTCTAACGCTTTTCCTTGCTGAGAGCGCTGCCTCCCCCCCTCAGAGGAGCAGCAGCTGTTTTCCCTGGTGTGTTCATTCCTCCTCAGAAAAAAAGTGAGTGGGATGTAGATGAAGCCACGTGGAGTAGCTGAGGTCCCTCTGGAGATCATCCTGCCCCAACCCTGCGTTGCTCTTTGGGTGAGCTGCAGCAGGCTGCTCAGGGCCGTGTCCATGGGTGTTCTGAGCATCTCCAAGGACAGAGACTCCACGCCACCTTTGACTTCCCTTACAGTAAAAATGCATTTTCTTATCTTCCAGTGGAAATTCCTGTATTTCCATTTGCCCCCTTTGCCTCTTATCCTTTCACTGGATGCCATCACATAGCCTGGCTCTGTCACCTTCACTCCTGGGTATTTACACACATGGCTGAGATCCCCTGAGCTGCCTCCATGAGCCTCTCCTCTTGTTTCAGGTGGACTCACTCCAGTAAGTCCCATATGAGATTTGGGGTGTGTGTGGGCACACACAGCACTTGAAAGCTGCCTTCTTTCCAGTCCTCCCTGCTGCTGAGTCAGTGCAGGTCCCTGGGGTGATGCTGAATCAATAGCTGAGCAGTGCTGGCAGTCAATAAAAGCCATCTCTGGGGGCTGCATGGAGCAGCATTCCTCTCCCCACGGCTGTCACCCCTCCCTGCTGTGGGGCTCACGTGCCAGGCTGGCTTCACGAGTCAGCCTGTTTGGAGGAACCTGTGATGTTTCCAGGCTCTTTATTGCAGGGAAGAAAGCGCTGTGGAGCAGAGCAGAGCTGCGGGGGAAGGCTGGCAAGCTCCTCTGTGCTTGGGCAGGCTGCCTTGCCAGTTGCACTTGCTACTGAATATTGACTTGTGTCAGATGGGTCGGACGTAAGTGGGGAGTTGGCTGGTGAGAGAGTGGCTCCTGGGAGACTGCGTGGAAACCTTGCATTTGTATTACTAAGTCAAACGTTTAATTAAGCAATTAGGCTTCACCAGGGGACAGCAGGGTGCCTCTCCTTGGCTGTGCTGTCACGCATGCTGGGCTGTAGTTAAATGCTGCTCGCCTCTCTCGCACTGTTGCTCTGTGGATGTCCTGTGGGAGCCAAGCACTCTGGCTGAGGGCCACACAGAGCTCAACTTCAGGTTTGGTGGATGGAAGGGCTCAGCAGGACGTGGTGGGCAAGAGGTGGAGCCCAGGACTGGACAGGATGAATGGCTGCAGGTGCCAAACCACCTTTAGGTGCCTTGTGGGGACGTGCTCCTTGGGCTGCTGAAGCAGCAGTGTTTCAGGTGATGAGGTTTAGGACAGAGATGGCAGCAAGCTTGTGGATGGCAGGTTAAAAGACAGGTTATAAGAGACAGATGGGAGGCTTGATGCTCATAGTGCAATCCTCAGAGCTGTTCTCCCCTTCGCTGGGCAGACGCTTCAGAATCAGGTTGTGAGGAAGTCCTGTGATGAAGTGCTGAACACCACTGAGCTGTGTTCTCCGAGGCCAGGCTGGATGGGGCTCTGAGCACCTGGTGGAGCTGTGGGTGTCCCTGTTCAATGCAGGGGAGTTGGACCAGGTGGCTTTTAAGGGTCCCTTCCAACTCATGATTCTATATGCTGGGGTGGGCTTGCATTCTAAACGATGGCACAGCCCTCTCTAGCTCCTGGGCTTTGCGTCGTGCTTGGTGCTGGTAGTTCTGTGGCAGCAAGTGCTCCATGCTAACGATGTACTTTATTAACAGCCAAAGGAAACGCTGCCTTATTTCTCAGGTTTGGCCTCTTAGAGCAGGGGGTTCACCTCATTTGTGCTGGTCGTGTGGGTTAAGCAGGGACGTTTCTGGCCGCTTTACGCTCGCTTAGAGCCTGCCCTGGTTTGGCTGCAGCAGTTCTGCACCAGGTAGAGTGTACTCATAAAGAAGCAACAGTTTCCACCTTCAGCAGGGAGGGAGGCTTATTCCCAGCTGTTACTGCATCAAAGCGTTATCGCTGCATCTGCTGCATCATTCATCAGAGAGACACTTCCAGGCTGTCATTTTTAGTACAGTCATGTCAAGAAAAGTCACTGCAAAATTGGCATCTTTTTGCTTGAAGTTATTGGCTCCCTGCTAATCTGCGTCACTTCTGCTCGTGGCGTTGACACAGCTCAGCCTCTCTGAGCAGCTCTGGTGAGCTGGGGGAGAGCAGGGCCACGGCTGGGTCTGTTCCAGCCATTGTGGTTCTATCACTGCACGCACATCTCTGCTGGGGGACCGACCTCCGTGGTGCCTTGTTTGGGTTCTGCACGTTGGCATCCTGAGCGGTGCGGCGCTGTGAGCTCCACTCTGGGATTTGTTTGGTTTTCCTTGTGCTGGGAGTTGCACAGGGAGAAAGGAGGAAGGTGGAATTCTGGGCCGGCATTGTTAGCGAGGTGCTTTATGACTGCAGCCGCTCTTTTAATTGGCTGTAATTAAACTTTGAGGCAGACGCCCCAGTGAGGGCTGAGGGAAGAAGGACCTTCACAACCCGTCTTTCTTTCTGCCGCAGTCTGGCTGTGGTCAGTAACAAGGAATAAGGGCAGGTAATTGCATTTCAGAATGGCACCTTGGAATATCTCTGACCTTCAGGGAATACTGGGAAAATCATGGAATCGCTGAGGTTGGAAAGGAGCTCTGAGATCACCACCAGCCCACCCCAATGTGTGTCCTACAGAGCAGGATGGGATGAAGATTTGCCTTTAGATGGGCGTTTATCAAGGGGTGCAGAGCTGGATGTGTGTCCATATCTGCCGCCTTAAGGCTTGGCTGGAGCTGGGAGCAGGAGCCAGCTGGATGGCTTTCACCTGGGGCCTGGCTTCAGCCAGCGTGAGCTGGGAGATGTCCCATCACAGCCAGTGACCTCATGGGGACCAGGAAGAGGCTGTGGGCTCCTGCCAGTTTGGTCCCTGCTCTGAACAGAGAGCCTTTGGCTGAGGAATTCTAATGTGGGAGCTGCATTCAGCTCCTGTCCTGAGTCTGAGCCGAGTGCCCTGCTTACCAGACTGCTCTGCTTGTCCTCCGCTGCTCTCCGGCTCTCTGTTGGACTCTGGATGGCTCTGCTGGGACTTTACTCCTCGAGAACAACAGTGGGAGACGTGTGAACAGCCCTGTTTCCAACCAGTACCCTTATCTCTGGCTTGCAGAGCGTACCCCAACATGGGGACCCCAGCAGGAGTTCTTTGTGGTGGCAGTGAGCGCCGTCACCTCCTCCCAGCAGCAGCAGATGAAAAGGCTGGATGACAAATTATCCATCTCCGGCTGCTCATTGTGTAGCACATTCCTGCCATCCTTATTAATATTCAGCAGGCAGATGAATAATTGGTTGCCACCACTAGGATGAAGTGATCCTTCACTCTGCCCAAGCAATATCAATTTCACACCCTGTCTGGAAACGTATAATGTTTTCCTTAAACGTGTGACATATGGTGGTGAGGTGAGAGCAGCTCCGGGTGAGCGTGGCCACAGGTGGCAGATGGTGTCTGAGTGGGATCAGGGTCCCCTCCTCCCTGGGAGCTTTGGGGATGAGGACGAAGGGGTGGCACAGCTCCCTGCCCGAGCCAGAGCAGCATCTGATGGAGGGTGGGCAGTGGGGCAGAGCGGGCTGCCATTAGATTGCGAGCTCTCCATGATAAGAAACTCTGCAGGGCGGTGAGCAATGGGTTTGGTGGAGTGAAAAGATGGCAGTGCAAACCTCTGACAGCTCTCTCTCAACCAGGGGAGCAGAGATTGAGGGAGCTGCGGCAGGAAGGAGCAGAAATCCCACCTGGCACCATTGAGATCTGGCTGGAGAAGAGAGCCAAGAGGCTGAGCGCAGCTCAGAGCAACAGGTACCATGGGGGGGTGGGATGGAAAAATGGGGTGGGAGATGGTGCCAGAGGTCAGGTGTGGAGGTGACAAGGTCCTGCTGTCTGTCCTCCTGCCGCGGGGGACGCAGGCAGGGAGCTCCTGCAGCCTTTACAGAGTGCCAGACATGTCTGGGAGGAGGCTGCCGTGGCAGGGCCATGTTCCTAATGCCCGGAGCCGGTGACAGCAGGTTGGTCTCATCTGCTGACAGCTCCCCCATCCTCTGCCATGCCCTGTCTGTATGCCTCTGCCCATACCTGCTTTCTCCGTTGCCAGTCGGAGGTGGGATTGGCTCTTCCTGTGTGCTGTGGGGTGCCTGCAGGTCCCTGCTGCTTCCCTGCTCACCTGACAGTGCTGCAGGCTTAATTGGATGGCGTTTGGGCAGGTGCCAGATCTCTCTTTTGTTCTTCATTCTGTTTGCTCCTGTCCTCTCCGTGTTTGGTCTGGGCAGAATCTTCTCTCTGGTGACCGTCTGGGCGTGCTGCTCTCTGCTCCCTCCATCCCTCAGCCCGGCTGCTCCTTGCCCTGCAGTCATGCTGTCCCTGTTCATTCGTCCTGCCCAAGAAGCCCCCAGTCTCAGGATGGATCAGCTCTCACAGAGGGCACCCACTGCTCAACCCCGACCTTGTGGGACCTACGTGGCCCGTGTGGCCTCTGAACATCCCCAGAACTTTTCGGAAGGAGCACAGTCCTTGTCCTGCTATTTGAGATGGGGGGGTTCCATGGCATGTAGTGTGTTCTGAATGGCACTGCCTTGGGGTCTGCTGAGCATCACCTCAACCAGCTCTGTGGTGGTAGAACTGCCATGCTGCCCTCCACCCACAGTTGGGCTCAGCAGCACAGTCTGCACTTGGAAGCTTCCATAGCTTTCCATATGGCTTCTCAGCCATATTTTCAGTCTCATTGTGCCATCTGCTTTCTGGAGAGCAGTGGGAAGCTGCATGGCATTGCTGCAGATTGCTGAGCTGTGGAGCTTTGATTTTTACCCTCATTTCCAGAGGAGGTGTGTGTGTGTGTGTGTGTGTGTGTGTGTGTGTGTGTGTGTGCGCGCCATGATGATGCAGAGCCCACTTGCAGCTTTCCATCAGAACAGGGCCCAAGGGCTGTGGGTGCTGAGATTCCATCAGCGCCTCTGGAAAGGATGTAGCCTTGGCCCCTACACCACCCTGAAGAATTCCCATGGGGCTGCCACTCTGAATACCCCAACAGGAGGTGAACCCATCATGTCTTATGAGACCCCAGGGAATCGAGTACCCAGACAGCATCCTCCCTATTGATTAATTCTGCTGCTATCAGGGCAGCTCATTAGTTGATAGCTGTGCTGTTCCATCTTACAGCATGCCTCATCCTGCTCCTTGTCCTGCTGCTCTGCTGCTGCAGGACCTGGGTGCAACCCGAGGGGAGTTCCTTCCCGTATGGGGCTGCTGTGTGTCTGTTGGTCCTTCTCCCATCCCTGGTGCAGAGCAGGGGATGAGCTTTATGCCAAATGACTTTACTCTCTGCTAGTTGCCTGGAAAACACCGCACTGAACTCCTGGAGCTGGCGTGGGGCCACGTCTCCAGCCCTGCAGGGAGAGGAGGGTGCTGCTCCTCCAGAGCATTATGTAAAGGAGCGTGATTGGATTTCTCCTGGCATAGCAATTAAAGGGATCCATCAGGATCAGAGGTAGAGGCCTGAGAAGCGGGAGGGCTGCTGTCAGGGCTGCTGCTGAGGAACAAATGAGTTTCCTGTACCCTTCCCCATTAATTCCTCACTACATTTGCTGTGATTTTAAACCTGCCCGGCCGAGCGCTTGCTTTGGTTGGAGACAAAGGAGCCACACTTCTCATTCTGTGCTTCTTCTGCCCGTGCTGTGAGCTGGGGGAGAAAGCCTCTTCCCTCTGTAAGGGTGCTTCAGGGAGAACAGCTGGCTTTTGGCAGCTCCGCTGCTTCCGAGGGCTCCTTGTCCTCTGGGAAGTATGCAGCTGCCTTGGGCTCGGGGGGCTGCCCAGGAGGAAACCACGACCTCATCTGCAGCTGTTCTCAAAGCTCAGCTGTGCCAGGAGCTGGGGTCAGATCGGCCTCATGGACAGAGCCGTGTCCCCGGGGCCGTGCTGGCAATCCAAGGAGGCTCATCTCTGCCCTTTCCACCTCCGCAGTGCCCTGCCTGAGAAACCCGCACCCTTCCAGTACCCCCCCGGCTGGCCCCCTCTGCAGGAGCTGCCCCCATCCCTGCGGGCCCCCCCCGCCTGGGGGGTGGCCGGTGCCCCCCGGCCTGCAGTGGGGCTGAGGCATCGTGCTGGGGCCGGACTTCTTCCTAATGTGAGAACGAGACTGGATTATTTATATGTGCTTTTATAGGAATAAAATTCTCCCCCCGTTGCAGCCTCGTGTTGTTTCTTGCCTGGTGGCATCGGTGGGTCGACCCGACTCCTGCAATGGGGGAAGTGGGAATGTAAGTGCAGCACCTCTTCTGTGGGCTGCCTGTGCAGCTGCCCCAGGCCTGGAAAGGAAGCTGCAAACGGGCTTTTAAGCATCGCTGCTTAATATTTCCTCTGGTGTTGATAATTTATGTTTGCTTCTGTTAAAAGTAAAAGCATAAAACAGCCTTGGTTCAGGTACTGGAGCTCCTAATGAAGAGTCAGGGGAGCTCCCGAAAACCCCGTGCTCCCGTTCCTGCTGTGCTGGAGGTGAGAAGAAAAGAGGGGAAAAAAATGAAAACTATTCCAAGGCTTCTCCTCCTCCAGGGAAATATCTGAAGGGTGAGTGCCAGCAGTGGGGGCCTGTGGAACAGTGCTGGTGGTTGCAGCACGGCAGCAGAGCAGCCCCATGCAGCACCGCAAAGCTGCCTGCCAGCGCACTCCAGGTTTGGCCACGCAGGCAGGCGTTGGGTCCAGATTCATGGAGAGCACAGGCAGCAGCCAGCTGCCCCAGCCAGCCCTGCTCAGCAAGCCCTGTGGCAACCGGTGCTGCCGCTGCTTTGGCACACAGAGGTTGGATCTGACCGTGCCCGGTGCCTGGCTGTGCCTTCAGGGGATCTTGGGGTGTTTTCACCCACAGCACCCACGTGGCGCCATCCCCTGGAGGACTCCCTGCCCTGTGCACCTCCCAGAGGCCAAATGCAGTGACAGTAACCCAAAGGGGTTCTCTGGTTCTCCCTGTGCATCGTGCCCCGTTCCCTTCCTACTGAGGCAGATCAGAGCACAAGCTCCCCTCCCTCCTGCAGGCATTCTGGGCTGGCAGTGGAGCGTGTTCCGATTCCTGCTGCTCTACTGAGATTCTGCAATTCCCCCTCACGGCATTCTGCAGCTCCTAGCTGTGGTTGAAGGCACACAGCCATGCTGACGGCCCTCCGCCCTGCTCTGTGCCACCCCTTGTGCCCAGGTAGGGAGCTCTGCAAACCTGCAAAAGCATTTCTAAATTTGGCTTCGCAAACATTTGTAACCCGTAAACCATGGAGTCTTAGCAGCCAACGTGGGCTGAGCAGGGGTTCTCAGCTCCTGCCTTTGCTCCCATGCTTGGCACCCTGCACCTCTCTGCACCACCCTCACTAACTGGGCACCCTGCAGCCTGCAGTAGGGTCTGCCCACTTGCTGTCCCCCTGCTCTGCACCTCCCCACAGCACTTGCTGTCCCCAGCTGTGCCAGGTTGGTGGGGTGGCTGCAGCCCCTGAGCGATGGTGTGAGCCAAAGTGCCTCTTATGGAGCAGCAGTAATTTATCGGGAGGCTTTTAGGGAAATGAGCCGCTCCTGGGCTGCTGCCAAGGTGCAGCCCTGCTGGGCTCTGCCCCGTGTCCTTTGGCAGCTCTTGGAGGGAGAGGGAAAGGGGGTGGGATGGGGGTGGGGATAAGGAAGAGATGGGGATGGGAATAGGGGTGGGAATGGAGATGGGATGGGATGGGTGTGGGAAGGGGTGGGATTGGGGATGGGATGAGATGAGGATGGGATGGGAATGAAATGAGGATGGGGATGGGGATGGGAATGGGAATAGGGATGGAAATGGCAATGGGGTTGGGGATGGGAAGGGGAATGAAATGAGATGAGGATGGGGACAGCGATGAGGCTGTGGCCATGCCACACTGCTTGCAGGACCAGAGAAGCAGAAATAACTCTTCCTGCCCCAAAATGCTTCTCAGCAGCCCAAACCCAGGCAGTTCTGCTGCCAGCCCTTCGCCCTCCGGCTCCCTCGGCAGCCCCAGGCAGGGCCCTGCTCTCCCCACAGCCCCACGGCTGCCCTCATCCCTCCAGGCCGCTCTCAGCAGACGATCTCTTCCTCATCAGCCTTAATTCAATTAGCAGCAGCCGCAATGAGGCATCCCCAGCTGCAGCAGCACCGCAGCCCAGCGCCGCTCGGTCGCTCCCGGATCTGAGCCGAGATCTCCAAACCTGCCTTGAGGACGGCGATCCCATTAAAATTAATTGAGCAGCTTCGGAAAGCTGAGCTGGGGGGGAAGGCGTTGTCCCTTTCATCTAATTTTTCTTTTACGTTATTGTGTTTTCTAGCAAATTAAATCATCCTGTATCGTTACTATTTTTGTTCTTTTCGGCTCCCTTACGTTTACTCACAGCACCCCTAATAGACTTGCTCAGTACACATCTGTATATCTATCTGTGTATCTATATAATCAGTGTATCTCTATCTGTACATCCCGGAGGCCACGTGGCTCCCTCTGAAAGTGGCGGTTCATAAAGAAGCCCAAGTTTCTGTGTGGAGATGGATGAAGTTTCATTACGGGCGCCGTGCCTCCCCCACTTCTCCAGGCGGCCGCGATGATTCCAGCGCCGTGGAGCGCTTCCCATTTCCATTTCTCATTTGGACGCCGGGCTCCATTTGTGTGATCGATCGCACGGGATCCAAAAATTACAAGAATAAAGCAAAAGAAGCCCACCTCGGATCGCCCCCTCCCCAGTGAAGGCAGTCGGTTCCTGCTTGCATCCCGCGCTCTGAACGCTGCGATCCACGTCTTTTCCTTCCCCACGTCCCGTTTGCTGTGGGTTTTGCACCTGGGCTGTGGCTCCGTGGGGTCCGGTGGGCAGCGGTGGGTCCATCTGACCCCCTAAACGTGGGGCTCCTCAGCTTGGAGGGCCCAACAGCCCCAGGGGTGGCCACCTCCAGTGGTGGCAGTGCGGGAAGCGGGAGAGCTCCCCGTGTTTTTATTTATTCTTTTAATCTCTTTGCCATTAAAAATGCATCATCTGGGGGCTCAGGGGAGGGCGATCCATCAGGCGGGCGCGGGATCCTCCCCCCCCAGAGCAACGTAGCAGTGATTTCCAGGGAGCTCTGTGTGAGTGCACCCATGGGTTTGTTGGGGTGGCATTTAGGGGGGGGGGGGGGGTGTTTGGTCAGACCCCTGCCGTGCCGTAAACCAAGAGCAGGACTTCACACGTGGATCAACGCCTAAAGCCGAAAGCATTGGGGCACGGTGGGGGAGGCGTGCAGCACCCATGGGTACCCAACCCACCATGAGCCCCAAGCGCTTCAGAAATCCCAGATTTATTTCAGATCGATAACAACAACCAACCAGGAAGGAAAGGGGCAAAAAAAGAAAATAATGCCAAAAAAAAAAAAAAAAAAAAAAAAAGAAAAGAAAAGAAAAGAAAAAAAAAGGGGGAATCCAACAAAACCCAAAGAATGAGAAACGGACCCGCATCTGAACCAGTCCGGTGCCGGGGTGCTACATACAGGCTGGGGGGTTGGGGGCAGGGGGGTCCCCCGGGATGCACGGCTCTTCCCGGCGGGTCCTTGCAAAGTGCATCAAGCAGAGGTCAGCAGTGCCAGCCCCGTCTGGAGGGAGGGGGGGAAACTGAGGCACGGCACGGGGCGGGGGGGGGGGCGGGGGGTGACATCCAGCCCTTGGCAGCGACGTCCATGCAAACGCTCCCGGATCTCCAAAGAGAAAAACATCTCAGGCGGGGGTGTAGGGGTGTATTGCTTACGAGATGGTTTGGTTGGGTTTGGTTTTTGTGTGTGTGTGTGTTTCGTTTTGTTTTTATCATAAATATCGAGCTATAGAGGCTATAGTGGTGCAACCGGCACCGGGTCGCCCCGGCTGGGCGGGATGGGGCAGCAGTCGGGCTCCATGCGCGTTGCATGCACTGAGGATTTGCTGGCGAGGGTTCGGTTTGGTGCGCGTGTCTCTCAGAGTCCGTGTGTCCTGCAGGCAGCCGCCCGAGCTCCACGCTCACCCCGCGCCGGGTTTCTCTCTCCATCCCCGGGGTGTTTGGTGGCGGCTCTGCTCGCAGCAGTTGGGCGCCCCGTCAGGAGCCGCACGGACGCCCCGTATCCGCGCTACTTCATGCCGCTGCGCAGCACCTGGTTGGCGGCGATGAGCATCACGCTGATGATGAAGGCGATGGCGAAGGCGCAGATGAGGCTTTTCCGCACGCATGTCTGCCTGATCTGCTGGTTGGAGCAGGCTGCGGGGACGGCCCGGGTCAGCACGCGTCCCCCTCTCACCTCCCGCCTCGTCCCCCCCCCTGCCCCACTCACTCTCCACCTCCACAGGACACTCCTCGGCCGTGCCCATGTGGCTCTCCTCCTCCGTCATGATGATGTTCTCGATGTCCTTCATGGAGAGGTGCTCGCAGAAGGTGTCGTACAGCAGGCGCTTCAGCTCGTCCACCGTCAGCTTCTGCATGTCGCACTGCGGGGCGGCACGCGGTGCGGACACACAGGGACCCCAAGGCGGGACCCCAAGAGGGGCTGCCCCCACCCCGGGCCTTGGCACGGTGGGGCCGGGTGTTGCGGCACCATTGCACCATGCTGAGGTTCGGCTCCTGGCCCCACACCTGGCCCCACACCAGAGCCTGACTCCAGAATTACCCCTAACCCTCATCCTGACCCCAAACCTGGCCCTGACGCAGAGCCTGAGCCTGACCCTAAGCCCACTCCTGACCCTAATCCAAAGCCCACCCAAACCTCACCTTGACCCCGAGCAACCTTAAGGAGTGGAGCCTGATGCTGAGCCCAGCCCTCACCCAAATCCTCACCTAACCCCAACCAAAGCCTGGCACCAGACCTTGGCCCAGAGCTTGAGCCTGACCAAGCCCAACCCTGGCACTAACCCAAACCCCAACCCCAGCTCTAACCCTGACCCCACTCCCGACCTTATCTCCAACCCCAGCCCTGACCTTCACACCAGCTCTACCCCCAACCCCAACCCCATTCCTGACCCTGGCCCTAACCTCAGCCTTCCCCCCACCTCAGACCTGACCCTCACCCACTCCAAACCTCCACCCACCCGACCCTGATGCGGCCCTGAGCCCCCCAGGCTCCCACTGCCTGCTGTCCCCTACCTTCCAGAAGACGGTGTCAAAGTCGGTGCCGTGGAACTTCTCTGGGATGCCCGAGGTGGACAGCTTGGGCCCCAGCAACGTCACAAACTC